TAAGGATCTTTTCCAACCTAAACGATTCTATGATTCTATGAAAAAAAAAGAAAAAATCAAACTTCCATTTCCTTATTTAGGCTTCAAGTGACACTTCCACTTACGTAAACTGGCGTTCACAAAAATCCAATTCCCTCCCTCTCTACCCGGCGACTGCTTATTTACAACCGGTGTTCCCATCCACACAGCTCTGCAGGCAGCTTGCTCTGCTGCTGGGTCTCCCATCCCAAGGCTGTGTGTTTGAGCTGCAAGTCCTGCAGCTAAAAATAAATTGTTTCCACTGTAATTTTTTTTTTTTTTTTTAAGAAATACATCAGTTGGCCACAGCTTGTAGAAACCTTTTGGCTTTGCAGGATCTCATGTGGGAGCTACATGTGCTCTGGCTGATGCCCATCAAATTCAGAGGGCTGCTGAGAGTTGTTCTGTGGAAGAGTTGCAGAGCTGGAAGACCCCAGCTGCATGGCAGCAGCCCTCTTACCACCTCTTTAAACCTCTTCTGGCTGCAATGTCATTAAGGGATGAGCACAAACAACTGTAGCTGCCTGAGCTCAAGGAACTTCTTCTCTTGCAGTTGGTATTAATTACGTGTGGGGAGTGCAGCCGGGGGGCGGCTGCCGTGCCAGGTGCGGAGCTCAGCCCTTCCTTGACGGATGCTCTTCATAAGCCCTGCCTTGCCCTGGCTGGGGGCTCTGCAGAAATCTTGTTTAGCATGCTTGGGGAGCTCAAGCAGCTGTGGTAGGCTGAAGCACAGTGTCGGGGCTGTTCCTGGCCCTGTTGTTGCTGTGCTGAGACTTCAGGCAAGTCCTGTCACCACTCTGTGCCCAAATTGTCCCTCTGAGCACATTTCTATCTCTCAGTCTTCTTACGTTGGCAAATGTTTGAACCGTAGCTACAATTACAACAGAGCTTTCCAAGCCTTGCTGCAGGATGATGTGGCAATGCCCTGGTGCCGGCACAGTCAGTGTGTGTGCTGCGGTGAGCACGGAGGAGGAGGGCTCCTGCTCTGCCTCCCTGGGGTGGCTGCCTGGCACCAGGCTGCTGCCTGGGCTGGGGGGTCAGCGAGAGCCCTGCCTGCATCTGGTGGGCTCTGGGCACCAGGGTCGTGGTCCTCTGCCTGGCAGCTGGCAAGGCATCTCCCGTGGGGAGCAAGTCTTCAGGACTTCTGCTTGTCTCCTGACTCAGGCACCCAGAAAACTTCTCTCTGAAAGCTGAGATTCCTACAACAGCTTGCAAGAGCAAAGGCTTAAAGGAAAAGGAGAAGTACCACCTTGCTCGTGGTAAAAGGCGATCAGATCACTTAGCCTTCATCTCGTGCCCTGGGTTCTCCACACGGGAAGCAGCAGCTTCTGTTCATAGGGGTGATAAGGAACCACTCCCTGCATATTGCTTTTTTTTTTCCTATGGCAAGCACACTCCAGAAGGCAGGACCGTAACAGAAAAAAACCCAAACAAACCTGAAGATCATTGTGTGTAACAGCAACCATGGTAGGGGCAGAGAAACCCCAAGACTGCGGGTAAGGAGGGCACGCATTTGGTGTGCTGAGCTGCCCTTTGGGACACCACAACTGAAGCGTTGGCTCTGAACAGCCCCTTGGGGCTCTCTCAGGGAGATGTCAGGGGATTCCCAGTTGCATCTGGGGATGCTCCTAACCAAATCCCTGCCTAGCGTTAAAAGACATCTGCACATCTGTGGTATAGCCTGAGTCTTGCTTTCATTGTGGAGGGCCTTGCTGAGAGTAAATGTTCCTCTTAAAGCTGATGTGCCCTAATACAGAGGAGCGATGGGTCCCCGGTGAGCACCCCGGGGTGCGTGGGGACCTGGCCGTGCAGCTCCTGTTAACGTTAATGGGTGACACAGCTGCAGGGCTGGGTAGAGCCTTCCAGCAGCACTAAAGCAGGGACCTTATTTTGTCCCGACAGAGGTGCAGGGCAACCGTATGCGTGGGGATGCACAAATGCACTGCCAGAACTGGTGCCACAGCCCTGAGAAAGGGAACCGGCTAGGAAGCAGCCTCTATCACTTGGAAATGCAAAGTCGTCGGGGGAGAAAGAAAGAGGCTGCCCAAATCGCTGGGTCTTTCCAGGGTGTTTCTTCTCTTCTTTGGTACTTTGGGGGGGTTGCCTAAAAGGGAAAGAAGTTGTTTTGCTGTAATGAACTAGATAAACAATTCCCCAAATAGATTAAAACTAACTGTAACTTATAAAAGCGGGTAGTAATTATATTTTATTAGCTAGCAAAACACCATTTTTTTATTTCATAGGATAATTCTGTGTAAATCACCTTAATTAGAAGTGTCAGACGAGCCCGTGAATATCGTACTTAGTAACTAATTTCCTATGTACAGGTTATAATTTAAAACACATGGATCACTCGCCGAGTGGAAATATGCTAGCCATGAAATAATGTGGGGAGTGTTGGGGTTATTACTATGTAAATGTGTAATCATTTCAGACCACTGCAGCCTGGCTGGGTGATTAAAGAGAATCCCAAGGTCTCCAAAGATTGTGCTCTCTGCAAGGGCCTAGAGCGAAAAAACTTTAAAAGGCACCGAAAAGTGTTTGAACTTTAAAGGTCTTGATTTCCCTTTTACCATTTTTAATTTGTCTGCAGTGTTTATGGAGGGGAAGGTTTCTCTTTGCTGACGGCCTTTCGATTCTCAGCCCGTTGCTGGCATCCTTAAGAGGCGCGGGGGGCTGCAGCCGCTGTATTTCAGGGGGTTGGTTAGCGGGATGAAAGAAAGCACGCTTAAATTGCAGGGTCTTGTGACTTGGATGATCAGGGCTTGTGTCCATTCCTGTCCCATCTCTGGAAATAAATAAAAACAAATTGCAAACTTTTATTAGCAATAGAGTGGGGCTAAATTGCAAGGAGTGAGGTGGTTCTTGATAATCCTCCAAATGAAGAATAAAAAAACTTGGCAGAGTTTATCAAAATCCGTTCCCTTCCCCGTCAGTCCCAACGGCAGAGGCTTGGCCTTTCGGCTGACCAGAGAGACTCTCGTCCTGAAAACTGCAGTTTCCTGGCGCTAACACCATTCCCTCAAAAAGGAATAATTTTAAACACATTTAACAAGAAAAGGGAGGAAATGAGTTGGTTTTTTTTAACCTGGCTTTGGATTATAAAAGGAAAAAAAAGTTGTTTCACACATTGGGCGATTAAGAAATTCAAGGTAGCGCAGGAGATGGGGAGGGGGTGGAAATCCTTCCCATTGCACGCATTGGGGTGCAGGCTGGAGGTGGTGCCAGGGCTGCATCTCCGGCGGCAGCAGGGACTGATTCTGCTCCCCACCGCCCCCCGAGAGCAGGGGGGGCAGAGCTGGGGCACGGGGCATGAGGGGCATCCTGCACCCCCCAGCAGTGCATCCCCTCAGGAAAGGGGGGCTGTGAGGGAGGCGATGCCCCAGCCCATCGATCAGTGGTCCCCAGGAACCACAGCCATTTGCTCTGGGAGTGGAGCTGCGGCGTTTGGGGTGACCTGATGGCGATGGCATGTTTCCCTCTGTTTTGGGGTGGGGGGCGAGGGCGGTGGCACTGGGAGAGGAGGGGGGCCATAGCCCCAGGAGAAAACACCTTCCTCCATCCCTGCTCATTTCATAACACCCAGCCATCTGCCAAATCAAGGCAGATTAAAGCCAGCCAAATTCAATTTCTCCCCGCTGCCACTGCAGCTCGGCATCTGGGGCTAAAGTGTCCCCGACAAAGCGAACATGACAGGCACATTGCTTTTTTGTCACATCTAGTACCATGTTGATCTTCTAAAAGTCTCATAAAAATTTATTGATGTCTCCCATATTGCTGTGATTGAGAAGAAAGGAGCGCGGGTGTGCGGAGCCGGGCGCGCGCGCGCAGGCGAGCGTGTGTGCGTGTGTATATTAATGTTTCTGAAGTAGATCTGATTTGATATGTCTTGTTCTATTGTCAGCATCTGTTTAGCGAGGCTTTTTAATACTTTCTGGCTGCCGATCACTCATCCTTAGCCTGGGATGCAGGCTTGCATACAAATTTTGTTATTAAACACAATTCCATTCCCCCCTCTTCCCCAACCTCCGCCTCCCCCTGCTAACCTCCCCCCTCCACCCACCCATCCATCATCTCCCCGGGGCTGTGGGGAGCTGGGAGCCAGCCGCCCCACTGGCGTGCACTTACAAGCACAGGCACTGGGCTTGGCAACATATTTCAAGAGCCTTTTGCCTGCTGCAGGTGCTTTGCATTGACAAATCGAATCATGGGGAAATAATTTATTTCCTAATGCTGTTTGCAGCATGTTAGCAGGAGAATTTACATGAGAGAGATTACTTTAATAACCAAAAAATTACAGTGCAGGCCTCCCCGCCATGTCGGCTTTGATATGTAATTGTTTCAAGTTTAACCTGTCTGGAGGGGGGAAGGTGTTATTAAATCTATAGCATCTCCCGCTGGCGAGGGCAGGCGAGGAGGAGCACCGTGGTGGGTTCCTCCTTCCCTGCTAAATGGGGAACAAGCTGAATTAACAAATCACTCCAGCCTCCGGCAGAGCTGCTGCCTCCAAGGCACAGCTGGAGCAGGGGAGATCTTCTTTCCCTTGCTCTTACACCGATTTAATCGCCTTCTCTTTCCTTCCCTCCTTTTTTTTATTGTGCCTGACCCTATGCAGGGCTTGCCACCTCTGCTCCCTTCTCCTTGGCTTTCTTCCCAGTGTCCCTGCAGGCTTGCTCCCCACTTCTCCCCAGGGCTGGGAGAGGAGCTGTGCAAGCCCCCGAGAAGGGGGAGAGTCTGAGATTTGACTCTGCATCGTGTGTCTGGGTTTGGGGGGTTCCAGTCATAGGACCATTTTATTCCAGCTGGAGAAACAGTTGGCGCTGCCCTCCTTTCCATGCCCCTCCGGTCAGGGTGAGGAGGCTCTCCTTGGTCTGAGGAAGGGGAGCCATGTGCTTTGCTATTTGACCTCCTGAGATCCCTTGAAGCGCTCCCCCGCTACAGCGGTTTTGTGACTCTGACCCCCTTCTCTTCTCTCTTGGCAGCAAGAGCTCCATCCTGAAGGATGCCATGGCAGCGGGCACCCCCAAGGTAAGTGAGCACAACTCGGCACACTTTCCCCCCCGCCAAGGGATGCTCTTTACATCCCCTCACCTTCCCAGCCCGCTCACTTGTCCTGCTACTCAGTGTCCCCCAGGAAGGTGGTCGTGCTTTGGGGGCCAGCCAGCATTGGGGGATGCTGCTGTCCCCGTTCACCTGCTGAGCTGGAGTGGTCAAGTCCCCACAGGGGCTCTCTCGTTCCCCGTGCAGCAGAGGGATGGGGGAGCTGAAGGACTCGGCGGGCTCCGGGGCTCCAGATTGTGTCTAATGACAGCTAATGAGAGCTGATCACATGCAGGCTGAGCTCAGCATGGGAAATCATGTGCGGGAGTTCCTGGAGCCAGAGCCATATGCCAGCTTTGGAAGAAGGGAGTGGGACTGCCTCAGGGGAAGTGAAGCACACCCAAGGAGGAGCCCAAATCACTAAAAGACCCTGTCTCAGCTGCATTCCCCTTCCCAGGACCTACCTCCCATCCCCTTGGCTCAGAATGCAAAAATAGAAAATGCACAGAGCGTCATGGTGTCACTGCAAAGGGTATCATTTACTGATTAGCAGTACTGTTAGCTGGACTTCATGATACGGTGATGGGAAGGACCACAGCTTGGGCAGGCAGGTGGGTGGCAGGAACACTGCAGGGCAGCTGGGCATTGCATAAACTCTGAAAACGACGCTGTGCTCCCCAAGGTGGGCAAAGCAAAGTGGTCCAGGCTCTCCCACACTTCTGGGCATGCAGTCCAAGCCAGGGGGGCTCCTGGCTTCCAGGGAGGTGCAGGGCATCTCTCCAGGAGAAGTCTTTGTGCTTGTTTTAATAGAATCAGCTTCATGTCTTACTCTCCCTTTTTTTACTGGAAGCTTTGGGTCGTTTTTGGCATGCAATGTCAGAAATGGAGATTGACATTTCAGCTCTAGGTTTTCCCCTTGGGGCTGAGTGTCTTGCCAAGCACATAAACACCTTATCTACTCCACCAAGCAAGGGGCTGGGGACCCACCGTGCTGACCCAAGTTTCTGGCAGGCAGGGACACCTCCTGGGTCAACCCAACAGTTTCCCAAACCCCACAAGAGAAAATAAAGATCATAGCGATACTCTGTAATGATCCACACCTTTGGCATTCCCATCTCCTGCATGACTATCCTTGTCTCTCGTGCCCTGTCCCAGGGGAGATCGGGAGGAGACTGGAGACCTGACTATTTCTCCCATGAAAAACAAGCAGAGCAGAAAGCAATCCCCAAACCCACCCGCTGTTGATAATCCACGGAGTGTGAGGCTGCCTTGGGACGTCTTGAAGGAGCTGGAAAGGGCACCCACAAAATGAAAGCAGCTGGACTCTGCAGGCTTCCCTTCCCCTCCTTGTCAGGTCTGAGTGTAGATAACTCAACGGTCCCAAACACATCGCCTCCGAGGGAGAAGGATGGCTAGGAAGACAGATTAGCTGTTTGGAGGGAAACACAGCGAGTGACTGACAGAGACCAGATAAAGAAGAAGGTCCATCTCGCGGCAGGGCCGGGCTTTTGAAGTTTCCATTGACAAAGAATCCCATTTGCCTTGAGCGAGGGGATTAAACTGGGACTGGAGCGTAGTTCTATGTAAAAGAGATCAATCGTCCCCTGTCACCACATGGATCTTTTCCCTTTGCCCGTCACGTCTGGGACTAAGAACATTAACTTCAAGAAGCCAGGAGAGCAGGGAGGGAGAGGGTGAAATCAGGAAATCTTTCATTCCCTTCTCAGAGAGCTTGAAAGCCTCTCAGCCCAGGAGGATTCATTATTTCTAGGTGGCTTTTGCTGGGAGACAAGTCCTGTGTGGCATGGGAAGGCACACACTGTCACCTTCACCTGAGCTTGGTATTAAAGGCTCCTTTGTAACCGCATGGGATTGAGAAGGATGGTGGTGGGGAGATGAAGGCTGCTCTTTCCCTTTGTGCCCACTGAGCGTCTGCAATGCTCTTACCCTTTGTGCCCACTGAGCGTCTGCAACACGGGGTGGGAATAGCCCATAAGGATGTGAAGTTCCTCCCAGAAAGTCCTGCTGGGGACAAAGCTGGGCCTCTGGGCCACCCTTAACAGGGCTCCCGGGGGGCAGACCCCCGGCTGGGCTTGCAGCCCATGCCCAGGCACCCAGGCACCACTGGAGGTCTGGCAGGCACTGCCTGGGAAGAGCTGGGACCTGCGCCGTGTCATTCTTCCCATCCTGGGCACTGGTGGAAGGAGTCACGGGGACTGACACAAGGTTTCCTGGCTGGTCCTTCTCCTGGTGCCAACAACAGGGCCAGCAGCTCCAGCAGCTCAGCAGTGGGAGAAAGGGACTGCACCTCCCCATCCCTCGGGAGCATCCCCTGGCAGCACGGGCAGGGGCAGGCTGCTTCCACTGAGGGACATGGGAACTGGGGTGGGGTGCAGGCTGGTGTTACCAAAGGTGTTACCTTTGTGGGCACCGGTGGCTTTAAGACCAGTTTAGGACTCATTTAGGGCCTTTGCATATACCATCATGGACTGTCGTTGCTTCTGTGCTGGCTTAAGGCTCTTCCTGGGGTGCAGCTGGGGGCAAGGGATTTAACTCCCCCCATGCTCTGTCTCCTGGCTCTGCTCCCATCCCTTCCCTGCCGTTGCCCTGGCAAACGGCTCTCCTGGCAATAAAAGCCCAGATGTAAACGCATATTCCTCGCTCACCGCTTTCCTGCCCCTGAAGAGCTGTCACTCACTGCACTGGGTCAATTTTCATGGCAATATGTCAAAGAAAATCCAATCACTCAACATGGGATGTGATGAATGCAGGATTATTGTATCAGATTCTTCTATTATCGGAGCCGACAGAGGCAGCGATGGCCAAGTGAGGGCTGCGAGCTGGGGGGCTCCGGCCAACATGTCTGCTCACTGCCTGGCCTCCCTCTCTGCGAAGGCAGCTCAAAGGGCAGCACTGAGCACCAAATAGCTCTGCAGCATCCAGGATCCTTGTTTGCTTTCTGTTAGTGACCAAGCCCGATTGATGGTGGTATGCCGGTGTGGACAAGCCACTTGGACAAGCAGATGACAAACATGTGTAGTGAGCCTCAGGGTGAGATGTCTATCCAACCCTGACTGCCACTTACTTAGGAAAGCTGGTGACAGCAAGCTGGGCTCTGCCAGCCTCTGGCTGGGGAGAAGGGCCTGAGATAGCTGCTTGGTGTCTTCAGGAATTCCCGTGGCCTGCGGACAGCAAGGGGAACAGCGCTGTCTTCTCCCAGCTGCAGTTTCTGTCCCTGATTGCAAGGTTGGATGCTTACCCCGTGGCTTGTGATAGCCTTTGGTGCCTTGATCTTCATGTTGCTAAGAGCCAGGTAGCCCACTGAACCCCCACATCTGAAGGTGACAGCTTGCTCTTGCCGGGCTGCCTCGTGCCTGTGCTTTGCAGAAGGCAAAGGTGCAAAAAGGTGCTGAAAGCCCATCTCCTTTGCAGAAAGCACACCCAGTGGCCCTGCTCTGGGAAAGGTCTTCCTAGGCATTGGACTCCAAGGAGAGTCCTGGACATCTGTAGCATCCTTCTCTGATGACATATCTGAGACACCAGGAGGAAGAGGAGGGGTGGGAAAAGAAATTCTTCACCAAGAAGTTTCCGTGTTGGTGGGAACAGATGCTTCACACCCATGGGAAGGGGTGGAGGATGTCCTTGCTCTTGCTGAGCTGGCGACCCCAACTCCATGGTCCCGTTCACCAGTGTGGGCTGAGCGTTGCTCACTAACATTTCACCATTGTCCTGGGTCACCATGGGGAAACCCAACACCAGAGCCACTCAGGAGGGCACTTTCTGAAGGTGTGTCCGAGCCAGCCATGCCCCAGACCTCTGTGAGCCCAGAGCTTCCCTGCAGCACTCCCCAGCATGGCCAGAGGCCATGTTTCAGGCAGGCCAGGCATCAAGGATGTCTTGCAGAGGTGTACAGACAATACCAGGGTCTCCGTCCAGGCTCGTGGCTGCCCAGGGGTCTCTGTAGGTAGCTGTCAGCAGCATGCAGTTCCCCCAGGCGTTGTTCCTGGGTTTCACACTCTCCCCTTACCTTTCCCCTCTCACCTTGGCTGCCTCTTGCAAGGGGTTGTGCAGGAGAGGAGAACACGTTGAGTTGAACCCATGTTGGTGACATGTATAGGCAGCCTAAGTCCGACTGTTCCTGCTCTTCCTTGAGCAGCCAGCAGTAACTCTGAGAGTCAGCGTCCCCAGGCCCTCCTAGCTACCTAAGAGCACTTCTATGCCACTGCCTGTCTGTCCTATGGCTCTCCCTCCACAGGCTATCATCTAGTGGGATAGCATCTCTGCCCAGAGAGATGTCAACAGCTAAATTTCAGGATATTAGCTGCAGACTGTTACCTGTCACCTAATGGCATCCACTGAACTTTCTTATATCCTCTCTGAAAGTGCTGGTACTGACCGCTGAAGGGGAAGAGCCTGGGCTCTGTGAAGCATCCCAGCTCTCATGGAGGGTTCAGCATTCCTTTTCCACTGCTGCTTCCTAATATATGACTGCAAATTGCCTTTCCCGCTAATGGTCCAGCCCACGCTGCAAACCAACACTGAAGTGAGCGGCCAGGAACAAAATCGATCTCCCGCACCCAGCAGATGCTTGCGGCTGGTTTGTTTAGGTGTGTACCCAGCTCCTCGGAGGGTGCCCGCAGGCAGGCAGCCAGCACGCTGCTCCAAGACCTCCGGCGGAGCTGGGAACCGAGCCGCAGTGCCAGAGCCCTTTGATTCCCCCACCCACCCCCGTGATTTTACAGCTTCACCGAGCAGTTTGAGAGAGAATTACAGCACCTAGAGGGAAATTTGACCACTAAAGCCCTCCAAGGAAAAAGAGCTTTGAAGCAAGTAAGATTTGGAGCCTTAAACCTTGACAGAATGTCTGTATTAAGCCCTTCCCAGCTGCCTTGCTCAAGATGAAATTTCTAGCACAATCATTTAACTTCTCCGTATCATGTCTGGTGGTAGGAACAGGGGACGGGTGTTAGGGCCCCAGGGTTTTAACT